GCACTGAAACTGCCCTGCTGAAGGTCTTTAACGACATCTTCAGATTCACAGATACTGGTGATTCTGTGCTGCTTGTCCTGTTGGACCTCACAGCCGCCTTTGACACCATCGACCATGAGATCCTCATTGCTAGGTTGGAGCAGTGGGTGGGCGTCACAGGATCAGCCCTCAATTGGTTCAGATCTTACCTCGCTGACAGATCCTTTTGTGTCTCCATCAAGGATTTTAGTTCTGCAGAGGCAGAGCTTAAATGGGGGGTTCCGCAGGGGTCCATCCTGGGTCCCCTCCTATTCTCTTTATACCTGCTGCCACTTGGTGCTATTTTCCGGAAACACAAAATGCCCTTCCACTTCTATGCCGATGACTGTCAAATTTACTTCCCCCTAAGACACAATGGTACATGCTCTATTTAACCATTGCTCAACTGCCTGGCTGACATCAGGGACTGGATGACTTTAAATTTCTTGAGTTTCAATGAAAAGAAGTCTGAAGTCATGTTGTTCCCTCCCAACGACACGATCACAAACCACTGCATCGACCTCTCCGCTCTAACCCTGTCAGAAAAACAAAGAGTCACTAATCTGGGAGTGATAATGGACCCTTCCTTGAAGCTTAACAATCATGTAAACATGATTGTAAAATCATGCTTCTTCCAACTGAGGCGGCTGTCTAAACTGAAGCCCATATTGTCCAAAAAGAACCTGGAGACAGTAATACATGCATTCATTACATCTAGGCTTGATTACTGCAATTCGCTCCTGTTTGGTATCAGTCAGACCTCCATTGCATGACTACAACTGGTCCAGAATGCAGCAGCCCGATTTTTAACCAGTACAGGCAAAAGAGAGCACATTATACCAGTTTTGGCCTCACTGCACTGGTTACCAGTTCACTTTCGAATCCAGTTCAAAATACTCATGTATGTCTACAAATCACTGAACAGTGTTGCCCCCCCTATCTCTCTGATTTGCTACAGCTGTATGTCCCACCACGCTCCCTGAGGTCAGCGGACCAGTTGCTCCTCACAGTTCCAGGAACTCGTCTTAAGCGCAGAGGTGACAGGGCCTTCTCTGTAGCAGGACCAAGACCCTGGAACGAGTTACCTCTGTTTGTCAGACAGGCCCCCTCCCTCTCGGTTTTCAAGTCCCATTTAAAAACTCACTACTATTCAGTAGCTTTCATCGCCAGATGATCTGTGTTTTGATCCTGTATGCTCCACACTGGTTTGTCGTCATTATCTGCATCGTTTTTATGTCTATATTCTGATTTACCTCATTTTGTATTTTGCTTTGTGTGTTACTTGTTATTTTGTCTGTACAGCATTTTGGTTGGCCTTGTTGCTGTTTTAAGTGCTTTATAAATAAAGTGGTATGGTATGGTATGGTATGGTATGGTATGGTATGGTATGGTATGGTATGGTATGGTAAAAGAAAAAGTGGGTACAGATGATGGATGGATGGATGGATGGATGGATGGATGGATG